TGTGTGTGTGTGTGTGTGTGTGTGTGTGTGTACTCACCTAGTTGAGGTTGCGGGGGTCGAGTCCGAGCTCCTGGCCCCACCTCTTCACTGATCGCTACTAGGTCACTCTCCCTGAGCCGTGAGCTTTATCATACCTCTGCTTAAAGCTATGTATGGATCCTGCCTCCACTACATCGCTTCCCAAACTATTCCACTTACTGACTACTCTGTGGCTGAAGAAATACTTCCTAACATCCCTGTGATTCATCTGTGTCTTCAGCTTCCAACTGTGTCCCCTTGTTACTGTGTCCAATCTCTGGAACATCCTGTCTTTGTCCACCTTGTCAATTCCTCTCAGTATTTTGTATGTCGTTATCATGTCCCCCCTATCTCTCCTGTCCTCAGTGTTCGTCAGGTTGATTTCCCTTAACCTCTCCTCGTAGGACATACCTCTTAGCTCTTGGACTAGTCTTGTTGCAAACCTTTGCACTTTCTCTAGTTTCTTTACGTGCTTGGCTAGGTGTGGGTTCCAAACTGGTGCCGCATACTCCAATATGGGCCTAACGTATACGGTGTACAGGGTCCTGAACGATTCCTTATTAAGATGTCGGAATGCTGTTCTGAGGTTTGCTAGGCGCCCATATGCTGCAGCAGTTATTTGGTTGATGTGCGCTTCAGGAGATGTGCCTGGTGTTATACTCACCCCAAGATCTTTTTCCTTGAGTGAGGTTTGTAGTCTCTGACCCCCTAGACTGTACTCCGTCTGCGGCCTTCTTTGCCCTTCCCCAATCTTCATGACTTTGCACTTGGTGGGATTGAACTCCAGGAGCCAATTGCTGGACCAGGTCTGCAGCCTGTCCAGATCCCTTTGTAGTTCTGCCTGGTCTTCGATCGAGTGTATTCTTCTCATCAACTTCACGTCATCTGCAAACAGGGACACTTTGGAGTCTATTCCTTCCGTCATGTCGTTCACAAATACCAGAAACAGCACTGGTCCTTGGACTGACCCCTGCGGGACCCCGCTGGTCACAGGTGCCCACTCTGACACCTCGCCACGTACCTTGATCGCTGCTGTCTTCCTGACAAGTATTCCCTGATCCATTGTAGTGCCTTCCCTGTTATCCCTGCTTGGTCCTCCATTTTTTTGCACCAATCTCTTGTGTGGAACTGTGTCAAACGCCTTCTTGCAGTCCAAAAAAATGCAATCCACCCACCCCTCTCTCTCTTGTCTTACTGCTGTCACCATGTCATAGAACTCCAGTAGGTTTGTGACACAGGATTTCCCGTCCCTGAAACCATGCTGGCTGCTGTTGATGAGATCATTCCTTTCTAGGTGTTCCACCACTCTTCTCCTGATAAATCTTCTCCATGATTTTGCATACTATACATGTCAGTGACACTGTCTGTAGTTTAATGCTTCATGTCTGTCTCCTTTTTTAAAGATTGGGACTACATTTGCTGTCTTCCATGCCAGGCAATCTCCCTGTTTCGATAGATGTATTAAAATATTTGTTGTTAGGGGTACACATAGCGCCTCTGCTCCCTCTCTCAATACCCATGGGGAGATGTTATCTGGCCCCATTGCCTTTGAGGTATCTAGCTCACTCAGAAGCCTCTTCACTTCTTCCTCGGTTGTGTGCACTGTGTCCAGCACTTGGTGGTGTGCCCCACCTCTCCGTCTTTCTGGAGTCCCTTCTGTCTCCTCTGTGAACACTTCTTTGAATCTCTTGTTGATTCTTCACATACTTCACGGTCATTTCCTGTTGTCTCTCCTCCTTCCTTCCTTAGCCTGATTACCTGGTCCTTGACTGTTGTTTTCCTCCTGATGTGGCTGTACAACAGTTTCGGGTCAGATTTGGCTTTCGCTGCTATGTCATTTTCATATTGTCTTTGGGCCTCCCTTCTTATCTGTGCATATTCGTTTCTGGCTCTACGACTGTTCTCCTTATTCTCCTGGGTCCTTTGCCTTCTATATTTCTTCCATTCCCTAGCACACTTGGTTTTTGCCTCCCTGCACCTTTGGGTAAACCATGGGCTCATCCTGGCTTTTTCATTACTCCTGTTACCCTTGGGTACAAACCTCTCCTCAGCCTCCTTGCATTTTGTTGCTACATATTCCATCATCTCATTAACTGGCTCCCCTGCCAGTTCTCTGTCCCACTGAACCCCGTTCAGGTAGTTCCTCATTCCTGTGTTGTCCCCTTTCTTGTAGTTTGGCTTCATTCGTCCTGGCCTTCCTGCTTCTCCCTCCACTTGTAGCTCTACTGTGTATTCGAAGCTTAAAACCACATGGTCACTGGCCCCAAGGGGTCTTTCATATGTGATGTCCTCGATATCTGTGTGTGTGTGCGATATGTGTGTGTGCGTGTGTGTGTGTGTGTGTGCGTGTGTGTGTGTGTGTGTGTGTGTGTGTGTGCGTGTGTGTGTGTGTGTGTGTGCGTGTTGTGTGTGTGTGTGCGTGTGTGTGTGTGTGTGTGTGTGTGTGTGTATGTGTGTGTGTGTGCGTGTGTGTGTGTGTGTGTGTGTGTGCGTGTGGTTCCTGAGGTTATAACAAGAGTCGACGTGAAGTATTCTTGCTTCACGAACACTGTATATACACACAGAAGTGTGTATCTCTTTGAGTAAATACACATTGAGGTGTATATTTCTCAGGGTGTATAGACTGATAGAAATGAACCTCTCAGTGTATATACACCAAGAGATGTGTATCTCAGAAAGCACATTTTCTTGTAGGGTGACAGAGATCTCTCTCGTCCCATTCCCATATTTCCTGCTTCTCCGTCTTTAATTCTGTGGGAACAAAATCCATTACGTATCTCATGATTTGTTTTAGTAAGGAGATATCTAATTTCCTGGTAAAGTTATTCCTTATCATTCACGTACGGGTCTAGTACCATTACAAAGGTGCTGAACACCAGCTTCCAGGCTGAGGGACTGATTACCTCACCCTCTACAGTCTTCTGTGCTGAACGACGGTTTACAGGCTTAGGGACTGATTATAATTACCTCACCCTCTACAGACTGAGGGACTGATAACCTCAACTTCCACTGTCTCCTGTGTATAGTTCTGCAAGACTGAGAGGCTAATAACCTCAATTTCCACTGTCTTAAGTGTATAATTCAACAAGACTAAGGGACTGATTATCTTATCTTCCTTTCTTTTCGTGTATCTTCTCTGCAGTTAACTGATAAAAACTGCAGGTTGGAGAAACGTTTTCATATAAAGCTGCCCAGGTGTCACACACGCGTCTAATCCCCAGTCATGTAAGAGGATCTCCCCATTATTATTACCCCCCACTCCAAGTTGACAATGATATAAAATGCCAACAAGTTGAAGATTAAGACACATGTGCAACAGCTGGGTATCTCTACTGATGAAACGTTACTAATTGCATCGTCTTTATTTGACTACTACACCTGCTTCTGTATTTGACTGAAGAAGCCTATTGTGTAGGCGAAACCTTTCATCAATAAAGGTACCCAGTTGTTTCACATGTATTTTAATCATGACCCCGCCCATGTAAGGCTTTACTGCGCCACTTCTTGAGCGTCCAGCTTGGATGTTGCTTGACACTGGTAATCTTCAACGGGTCGTCTACTTCCTCTGTAATAGCCGTTGTTCTCTTTGAAACCGTTAAATATACAAATAAATAACGATACCAAGATCCTTCGGCACTGAGTGTCGTCTTCCCTGGCGATGAGTTGCAGGAATGGAGACACTCAGTGTCGCAGGATCTTTGAATCATCACGGTTATCTAAAACCCCGCGTCAGAAGACACTTCTAATGAATATTATAACAATTGCTTCCCTAACGTCTTTCCATCATCTTAAATTAACGTAATATACGCATTTCTTCCCTCCCATTGAGTTCCATCCATGACTTGGTTTCCTTATTTTGTATTACTAAGTAGCTTGATCGCTAGCGCATTTAGCTCACGCATTGAGGTCCGGGATCGATTCCCGGTACGGCTGGTAAACATTACGACGTGTTTCCATAAGATACCTGCTGTCCCTGTTCACCCATCAGTAAAATGGGTACCTGGGTGTTAGTCGACTGATGTGAGTCGCATCCTGGGACAAAACTGACCTAGTAATTTGGCCGAAATGCTCTGCATAACAAGTGGCTTTCTATATAGTAGAATGTCATTGATGTCAGCTATGGTCTGTATACCTTGTACGTAATTGTAGTAAATAAAGATATCATTATTATTATTATTATTATTATTATTATTATTATTATTATTATTATTATTATCATCATCATCATCATCATGGCTGTCTTTGTCCTGGTCTACGTTTTCCTTTGACAAGATGCGGGTTGTTGTGACCCTGGTGTTATGCACGAAGCGCTGCCGGCTGGACGACCTGTTTTATTCCCAAGTTTCCTGACTCGTTATACCAGTGAAAAGTTTTGTGGTATTCGGCAGTTGTTTCATCTTCGTTAATCAGATCACTCATGTGTATGTTTCACTCATGTGTATGTGTCACTCATGTGTATGTGTCACTCATGCGTGTGTCATGTATGCTTCATTCTCGCGTTTCGTGTGTTTCATTCACGATCATTCTTTTCCATGAAACTCCCATCTATTTTACTCTCCAACTACAAGATCACTTCCACTCCATCTTCTAAACATGTCGCCACAGACTCTTTCCTCTAACACTCTGTCATACTTTAACTATCATCGCCTCTCAAACATTTCTCCAAATTAATTTTTTTACTCTGTTCCCTGTCTTCTTTGTCTTCCTTGTATTTACATTCTCTAATCAGTCTCCAGTTTATAATGCAATTTTAAGTACTAATTTGTCTGACAGATATGTTTTGTATAACTGCATAGCTTCTCAGTTTTTTTTACGAGATATTGTCCTTAGACACACATGGTTCAGTGGGAGTATTTCAAGCGATGTTAGGACACGACTTTTGTGATGTGTGTGGGGTGGGGGCTGGCTGCGTGTTGAAGGATGGTGTATGGTCGAAGAAGTTAGTGAAAGGTAAGTAGCAAAGAACGCAGATCAGTACGTACATCCGTGTCCTCCTACTGGGAAGCCGACGCCGCCGCCTCCCACAATCGGGAAGCCTCCTGGGTTGCCGCCGACTACTGGGTAGCTGCCGCTTCCTACTGGGTAGCTGCCGCTTCCTACTGGGTAGCTGCCGCTTCCTACTGGGTAGCTGCCACTTCCTACTGGGTAGCGGCTGCCAGTTCCTCCTGGGTATCTGCCACTTCCTGGGTAGCCTGCTACCCCTGCTTGAGGATAGCCGCCTCCTGGGATGTAGTTATTTACTCCTCCACCTTGATAACTGCGAGATAAGGAGGAAGCGTTAGTATTAGCATCACTTGGATAATCATGTACACTCAGGAATGTCAAGTTTCCTGCCTGAAGGCTGGAGTAATACAGATATATTCGCGTTCATCCTCTACTCTTACATACGTCCACATCCCACACCCGAGGGACTTCATGAGTCGTTTCATATGTAATTATTGACAAACACATCTGTGCAGTATTAATATTGTGTACAGTATTGCAATAAACTGTATATGCAAGAAACTCGCGAAGCACTTACCTGTAGAGTGCACCGTTGGTACTGGAGATGCCGATGAGGTCTCCGTCTGGAGCCAACAATGGGTCCTGGTTGAAGATGGCAGTGTCTTGTTGTATCTCGTCTGGGTTTATGTTGAACAAGAGTTCATTGGCACCAGTCCGAGCCACCAGCACCGCCAGCAGCACCAAGGCTTGCATCTGCAGCACCACCAACAAAGAATATCCGTCAAATAAAGATTCAAAATGGGTTTGAGTGACTTACATTGGCCAATAACATTCAAATATAAAATACACGAATGAACAGAATAATTATATTCGAGCCTTATCATGGGGAGACATCAAATTTGATGTCTCATTAGTATAAAAATGTATCTGCATACCCTTAGGCTCCTTTGCTGAGATATAGATGAAAACAACTTTATTTTGTCAATGTCTTGGATATACACATAGTGGTCAGTTTATCAGGTACGCCTGATCGTTAACACAAACATATAATCAATCACGTCGCAGCAGATCAGTGCCTAAAAACATGTAAACATAAGTAAGAGGTTCAGTAGTTGTTCAGATCAAACATTATAATGAGAAAGAAATGTGATTTAAGTGACTTTGACCGTGGAATGATTGTTGGTGCCAGATGAAGTGGTTTCAATGTCTCAGAAACTGCTGATCTGTGATTTTCACACACAACAGTCTAGAGTTTACAGTGAATGGTGTGACAAACAAAAAGTAACTAGTGAGCGACACTTCTGTGGGCGAAAACGCCTTGTTAATGAGAGAAGTCAGGGGAGAATGACCAAGACTGGTGCAAACTGACAAGAAGGCGACAGTAATTCAAACAACCACACGTTACGACAGAGGTATGTAGAAGAGCGTCTCTGAACATACAAAACATTGAATCTTGAAGCGGAAGGGTTATGGCAGCAGACCACACCGGGTTCTACTCCTGTCAAAAAAAAAAAAAAACAGGAAACTGAGGTTACAGTGAGCACAGGCTCACCAAAACTGGAGAGCTGAAGAATGGAAAATGTCGCATGATCTGGAGAATCGCGATTTCCGCTGCGAAATGCGGATGGTAGGGCTAGAATTTGGTGGAAGCCTTTCGGATGTGGTGGAATGGGATTCTTAGCAAGAATGTCTCTCAAGGGAGGTTCTTTGATGCTGGTGAGGGGCTCTTCGTCCAGGGAATTGGATCAGTTCCCTGAACTGAGCCTGAATACCTTCCATGCCCCCCACGTGCGCTGCATAATCCTACGGGTTTGGCGCTCCCCATGATTATAATAATAATAATAAGTATGTGTAGCAGACACATCTGCAGCAACTGCTTGAGGCTATCATGTCAACATAGACCGGAATCTCTAAGGAATGTTTCCAGCACGTTGTAGAATCTATGACACGAAGAATGCTTGAGAGGTGAGGTAGGAGCTCAAGACCTAAGTTCATTGAAGCAGCCGTGCGGTGGGACACCCTTGCCGACTCCTCCAGTAGACCAGCTCTTCCCAGTGAGCACAAACAGTCCCACTGGGACTAACCGATCATGGAAAAAATCGTCAACACAGTGCTCACCAACGCTTCAGGAAAATACAAAGCTCGTCTCCTAGCGGTGAAGGCACCATATTCAGGAGATTTCTTTTTAGTTGTTCCCAATTCCTCTCTGGGCATTCGACTCGACCCGCAGGCCATTCAGATTGGTGTTGCTCTTTGCCTAGCTGCCCCCATACTCACTGAACATAGGCGTATTTGCAGCAGGGCGACGGCTGATCAATTCGGACTTTATGGTTTCATGTGTCACACATTAGAAGGGACGTATGGAAGTATGTCAGTGACATCATAAAGTGAAGCCTCGCCACAGCCCGTTGCCCAGCTCAACGGGAACCCCAAATACAGAGGTCTGACGGAAGTCGAAAGCGTCCTGATGGAGTTACTATGCTGCCCTGGGAGGATGATAAGCAGATTGCCTGGGACTACACCTGTGCTGCCACATTGGCAGACACCTACTTGCCATACTCCGTAGCTGAAAGAGGGTGGAGCTGCCAGCCACAGGGAGACCCAGAAGACCCGCAAATATGAAGACCTTTCTTCCTGCTATAACTTCACCCCAATAGGGTCGGAGACCCTTGGAGCATGGGGCAAGTGTGCTCTAAAGTTCCTCAAGGAGCTGGGTGAAAAACTCACCATAGAAACCAAGGATCACAAGGCGACCAACTTCCTCTTTCAGAGACTCAGTGTTGCGATCCAGAGGGAAAATGCCTGCAGCACTGTGGGCACACGGCCCACCGCCGGGGAGCTAGACGAAGTATTCGAGATGTAGCTCTGAGATGTTTTCTACGTTGTTCTACTCCCTATTGTATTTTTGTCAATGCATTTTGTCAATGAATTTTTCTTTAAAGTTCACATAGAATACAGAATATAGGGGGAGGTAGAAGAAAACAATATTCAAACAGCTTCAGGGAGAACCTTGAGTTTTTCCTGAAGCAAGTTTATTCTTTTCTCTGATGATGAGGGTCCCCAGGACAGTTCCACAGGTGGTATCTCTCAATGTAATACACACACACACACACACACACACACACACACACACACACACACACACACACACACACACACACACATATATATATATATATATATATATATATATATATATATATAATATATATATATATATATTTGTTGCTTCTCTCTGTCCATGTGTTGTCTCTGCCCTCACCGCCAACTAACTCACATAACCTTGCATTTATTCAGGTTGAATTCGCCAAGCCACTTGTTTGACCACATCTGTAGTGTGCGCGCGCGTGTGTAATCACCTAGTTGTGGTTGCAGAGGTCGAGTCACAGCTCCTGGCCCTCTCTTCACTGGACGCTACTAGGTCACTCGTCCTGCTCCACAAGCTTTATCATACTTCTTAAAGCACTTCCTAACAACTCTGTGACTGAAGAAATACTTCCTAACATCCCTGTGATTCATCTGAGCCTTCAACTTCCAACTGTGTCCCCTTGTTGTGTCCCATCTGTGGAACATCCTGTCTCTGTCCACCTTGTCGATTCCTCTGAGTATTTTATATGTCGTTATCATATCCCTTTATCTCTCCTGTCTTCCAGTGTGTGTGTGTTTGTGTTTGTGTGTTTGTGTGTGTGTGTACTCACCTAGTTGTACTCACCTAGTTGAGGTTGCGGGGGTCGAGTCCGAGCTCCTGGCCCCGCCTCTTCACTGATCGCTACTAGGTCACTCTCCCTGAACCGTGAGCTTTATCATACCTCTGCTTAAAGCTATGTGTGGATCCTGCCTCCACTACATCGCTTCCCGAACTATTTCACTTCCTGACTACTCTGTGACTGAAGAAATACTTCCTAACATCCCTGTGATTCATCTGAGCCTTCAACTTCCAACTGTGTCCCCTTGTTGTTGTGTCCCATCTCTGGAACATCCTGTCTTTGTCCACCTTGTCAATTCCTCTCAGTATTTTGCATGTCGTTACCATGTACCCCCTATCTCTCCTGTCCTCCAGTGTCGTTTAACCTCTCCTCGTAGGACATACCTCTTAGCTCTGGGACTAGTCTTGTTGCAAACCTTTGCAATTTCTCTAGTTTCTTCACGTGCTTGGCTAGGTGTGGGTTCCAAACTGGTGCCGCATACTCCAATATGGGCCTAACATACACGGTGTACAGGGTCCTGAGCGATTCCTTATTAAGATGTCGGAATGCTGTTCTGAGGTTTGCTAGGCGCCCATATGCTGCAGCAGTTATTTGGTTGATGTGCGCTTCAGGAGATGTGCCTGGTGTTATACTCACCCCAAGATTTTTTCCATGAGTGAGGTTTGTAGTCTCTGCCCCCCTAGACTGTACTCCGTCTGCGGTCTTCTTTGCCCTTCCCCAATCTTCATGACTTTGCACTTGGTGGGGTTGAACTCCAGGAGCCAATTGCTGGACCAGGTCTGCAGCCTGTCCAGATCCCTTTGTAGTTCTGCCTGGTCTTCGATCCAATGAATTCTTCTCATCAACTTAACGTCATCTGCAAACAGGGACACTTCGGAGTCTATTCCTTCCGTCATGTCGTTCACAAATACCAGAAACAGCACTGGTCCAAGGACTGACCCCTGTGGGACCCCGCTGGTCACAGGTGCCCACTCTGACACCTCGCCACGTTCCATGACTCGCTGCTGTCTTCCTGACAAGTATTCCCTGATCCATTGTAGTGCCTTCCCTGTTATCCCTGCTTGGTCCTCCAGTTTTTGTACTAATCTATGTGTGTGTGTGTGTGTGTGTGTGTGTGTGTGTGTGTGTGTGTGTGTGTGTGTGTAAACAAAATGTTGAAGATCTCAATTACTACGCTGGTTCAGCCAGTATCTAGTTGATGTCTGTGGTCGGGGGGCAGATAAGTCACCCATACAAACAAAGCAAATACCTCATACAAAGTGCCACTATCAGATTACTCCAATATGAGCACCACAACTCCCACTACACACAACCAACGTCTCTCAACATACCTTGACTCCTGAACCCTAGGACGCTGCTGCAGCACTGAGGGATCTTGTCTTCTTCACACTTTATATATGTGACCAGCTAGGGTCATCCTCTCATGTCATCATTTCCTGGTTTTTCAAGTTGCCACATAATCAGTTTATTTATCTTACTCCATTAGACCTTATATATATATATATTTTTTTAAGATTAAATCTTTAAAACTGGATGGTTTATTCGTGAGCTGAAGACTGTTGAGTCAGTCTTGGCATCAAGGGCACGAAGGAAGTCCTGGGCACATGTATATCAGCTGACTGGAGTGACTGAGTGCAGCTCAGTTATTTGAGATTCCTCCTCCCTGCCCATCTGCGCACTGCATTCCATTATATAATTGCAAAAAATATCTCGACTAACATACATGTATTTATTATGATAAAAAAGTTAATGGTAAACTTAAATGATTACATATATATATACATATATATACACACACACGTATGTAATCATCTAAGTTTACTATTAACTTTTCTCTCATAATAAATGTGTTATTCTGTTAAATACGTAATGGTAGCAGGTTTTGTATGACTTGAGAATTAGCAATATGTTTACTTAAGAAAACACACAGGGAATGTAGTATTAGGTAGGTAGTGCTGTCGGGAACACAGGGGTTTCGGGCAGGTGGTGGTGTTGGGAAGGTGGTGGTGGTGGTGTTGGGTAAGTGGTGGTGTTGGGAAGGTGGTGGTCTTGTTGGGTAGATGGTGGTGTTGGGAAGGTGGTGGTGGTGTTGGGTAGGTGGTGGTGTTGGGAAGGTGGTGGTGTTGGGCAGGTGGTGGTATTAGGCAGGTGGTGATGTTGGGATGGTGGTTGTGGCGGTGTTGGGAAGATGCTGATGTTGGCTAGGTGGTGGTATTGGGCAGGTGATGGTATTGGAATGGTGGTGGTGTTGGACAGGTGGTGATGAGCAGGTGGTGGTTTTCCAGAGTGTCTTGAGGCAGGGTGAGGTAGGTGACCCTCCTCGCTGGTTATAACAGTACTCAGGAACCTGTTCCAGGTCGTGGACTCCAGCCTCACATGGATACCAAGGGCAGCCCGGATTCCTTTTGTTTGTTTGTTAATTATCCGTGGACGAGACTGTTATTCATTATTTCTGGCCACCGATTGTTTTCACACAATATATCAAGAGTGTCTCTTATACTACCTTGGAATTTACACTAAACAAACGAATTCATAAAGCCGAGTTTCATTCTGAAACTGAACGGTACAGTCTTTTCCTTGAGATTTGTTGTGGAAATCGATTATTTCGACCGCCGGTAGTTTTGATACCTTTGATCAAGTGGTATCATATATCAAGTTTTGTGTGATAAATGGTTTAGAATACCGACAAGTTGAAGACGTCACTGACTGGAGAAACATTGGACTGAAGAAGTCACTGACTGGAGAAACATTGGATTGAAGAAGTCACTGACTGGCGAAACGTTTCCTCAATAAAGATTCCCAAATGTTACACAAGTGTTTCGGTCTTCAACGAAGTTTTGTACATTAAATTAATGCTGAATATTTTTGTTATATAATCTCTTATAAAATATACAATCTTGGAGTATTTCCTGTATAACCAGTTACCTAAAGTTTCTCTCATTTACGCGGCTATTTTGGAATTCCCAAGAATCTATTATGATAATGTCTTTTCAATTAGACAATATCTTACCTAAGAACTGTCATATTATATTCTAATGTTCATGTTTCTAATTCTCCTAGTGGTAGTTTTCAAAGCTATTTTTACCACATCGACAAGGCCAGTGACCGAAAAAAAAAATACATTCACAATTACTAGGTGTCTTTCTAGAAATGCATAGATATTACTATTGAAGCACCACTCAAGTCCTGATGACTGTTTCCCTGAATCCCATCACGTATATTACCTCGTTTACACTTCGAAGCTCTATGTTATTATGTTATATTTAGCTTATGTACGTATGTAGGTAGTAAGTAACAACTACACCTCTCTCGGTGCCAGTTGAGGGAGTCTTGATTGGTTGTCAACAATGCAAACTACCTGCCAGCTTGTTTCATTGTTTTCGCCGTGAGTTGTATCTACAGGGCCTTCCTGCTGCTCTGCCTAGGAGAACGCTGTTCTCCTCAACTCGTGTTATTTAGACACTGTTTTTGGTAGAGTATACCTCCTTTGGTGAGCCGGGACATACTTCTCATAACTCTCTGCAACTTGTTCACAGGACATTATTTAGAGTTAGGGATATTTGATGCTTTCAGAGGTTGTGTTTCGTAAGGCACTCTCTGTCTCTGGTGCCGAGTTCAACTCTTGACCTACTTTGTTTTGGCATCTACGCACTGTCATAATCGGGGTTTGGAATTGCTGACCTCAATTTCAGTAATAAGGGAGTTTTATGCCTTTATGTAGGACTTGCTGATGATCCCCAGATAAAGTCGTGTTTTGTTCTTGTTCCCTCTCTGCTGCTGTGCTGTTCACGGCTGCTTCCAGTATTATTGTTGGTTGAGAAATATGTCGTCTTGCTATTTTAGCAAGCTGTTATATTGCCTCTATGGTTCAGGAATTTGTTTTTGTTAGTCACGCGCGCGCACACACACGCGCGCATATACAACAGGCCTAGTATTTAATCGACATGTGCCTAGGACAAAATAGTAACTAACTGAGGGGAATTGCAAGGTGGATAGAGACAGGATGTTCCAGAGATGGGACACAACAACAAGGGGTCACAAATGGAATTTGAAGACAGATGAATCACAGGGATGTTAGGAAGTATTTCTTCAATCACAGAGTTGTCAGGAAATGGAATAGCCTGGGAAGTGATGTAGTGGAGGCAGGATCCATACATAGCTTTAAGAAGAGGTATGGTAAAGCTCATGGAGCAGGACGAGTGACCTAGTAGCGATCAGTGAAGAGGAGGGGCCAGGAGCTGTGAATCGACCCCTGCAACAACTAGATGAGTACAACTAGGTGAGTACAAACACACACACGCACACTCCCTCTCTCTCTCTCTCTCTCTCTCTCTCTCTCTCTCTCTCTCTCTCTCTCTCTCTCTCTCTGATCTTCTGCCTCACTTCTTTGCATGTCAATATTTCTCTTGTCATGCAAATACCCCATAGTTAAGAGCGTAGTGGTGGTGGTGGTGGTGGTGGTGGTGGTGATGGTGGGGGTGGTGGTGATGGTGGTGGTGGTGGCGGCGGAGGTGGTGGCGGTGGTGGTAGTTGTGGTGGTGGCGGCAGTGGTGGTGGTGGCGGTGGTAGTGGCGGTAGTGGCGGTAGTGGCGGCGGTGGTGGTGGTGGTGGTGGTGGTGATGATGGCAATGGTGGTGGTGGTGGTGGCATAGTGGTAGCAGTAGTGGTGGTGGTGGAATAGTGGTAGTAGTGGTGGTGGTTACCTGGAGGTTACCTGGAGGTTATTCCGGAGATCAACGCCCCCGCGGCCCGGTCCTTGACCAGGCCTCCCGGTGGATCAGGGCCTGATCAACCAGGCTGTTACTGCTGGCCGCACGCAGTCCAACGTACGAGCCACAGCCCGGCTGATCCGGCACTGACTTCAGGTATCTGTCCAGCTCGGTCTTGAAGGCAGCCAGGGGCTTATTGGCAATTCCCCTAATGCTTGATTGGAGGCTGTTGAACAGTCTTGGGCCCCGGACACTTATGGTGTTTTCCCTTAGTGGACCAATGGCGCACCTACTTTTAATTGGGGGCATTTTGCATTGCCTGCCCAGTCTTTTACTTTCGTAAGGAGTGATTTCTGTGTGCAGATTTGGGACCATTCCTTCCAGGATTTTCCAAGTGTAGATTATGATATATCTCTCCCTCCTGCGTTCCAACGAGTACAAGTCAAGTGCTTCCAAGCGTTCCCAGTAGTTAAGGTGCTTGACAGAACTTATACGTGCAGTAAAGGATCTCTGTGCACTCTCTAGATCTGCAATTTCACCTGCTTTGAATGGAGATGTTAATGTACAGCAGTATTCCAGCCTAGAGAGAACAAGTGATTTGAAAAGGATCATCATTGGCTTGGCATCTCTCGTTTTGAACGTTCTCATTATCCATCCTATAATTTTCTTTGCACTTGCGATCGTGGCACTGTTGTGATCCTTGAAAGTGAGATCCTCAGACATTACTACTCCCAGGTCCCTTACATTATTTTTCCGCTCTATTGTATGGCCAGAGTCTAGTATACTGTTCTAGTTATTATCTCCTCCAGTTTTCCATAACGGAGTAGTTGGAATTTGTCCTCATTGAACATCATATTGTTTACCGTTGCCCACTGGAAAACTTTTTTTTATCTTTTTGGGGGTTTAAACCGGTCCCCCAACAGATGACGCCTATGCGATCCTAGTATTCATCCGCAAAGGATGATCGGTGTGTGATTTAATATCTCTTTGGGGGTGGTGATAAGTAGTAGTAGTGGTAGTAGTAGTGAGTGGGGGTGGTGTAATAGTGTGGGGTATAGTGTAGTGTGTGGTGGTGTTTTTAGTGGTAGTAGTAGTAGTAAAAAGGGTGTTGTGGATGTGGTTGTAGTGTAGTAGTTGTGGTGGTGGTAGTAAGTGGTAGTGAGTGTTGGTTGTGGTAGTTTAAGGGTAGTGGTGGTGCTATGGGTTTGGTCATAATGGTGGGGTGGTGTATGGGTAGAAGTAGTGGTGATGGTGGTGTGTGTAGTAGTGGTAGTATTAGTGGTTGGTGGGGTATGGTTTAACTGGTGATAGTGGTAGTGTGGTGGTGGTGTAGTGGTAGTAGTTTTGTGGTGTCGTGTGGTTGTGGTAGCAGTGGTAGTGGTGGAAGTAGTAGTGGTTTTGTGATAGTGGTGGTGGTGGTATAGTAGTGGGGTAGTAGTGGTTCTTGTGATAGTGGTAGTAGTGGTTCTGGTGAAATGGTGTAGTGGTGGTGGTATAGTGTAGTAATGGTGTTTAGTGTAGTGGTTTTGGACATGTGGTTGTAGTGGTTTGGTGTAGTGGTAGTAGGGGTGGTGGTAAAGTCGTGTAACGATAGTGGTGTAGTAGTGGTTCTGGGGTGTGGTAGTGTAGTGGTAGTCGCGGTGGTTATAGTGGTGGTTTTAGTGGTAGTAGTGGTGGTGGGATAGTGGTAGTAGTGGTAGTTGGGGAATAGTAGTGGTTTTGGTTTCAGTGGTGTACTGGTGTGGGAGTAGTAATGGTTCTGGTTTTAGTGGTTGTGTGG